TTTCAAAAAATAAATCCAGGTGTACCTAGTATAGGCATCAATGAATGCTATGTAGTAAGAGTATCCATCAAAGGACAATATAGGAGCTGGACCCCACAGATCAGTGAAAATCAACTCAAAAGGTTTGTGAAAAACAGTATTAGAAGAATATGAAGGTAGTCTGTGTGCCTTTCCAAGACAACAAGCAGAACAGAAACTTATATCACTTTTATTGCTTGAATGAACATTACAATGTTGGAGTACAGATTTAAGTGCCTCAAAATGAGGATGCCCTAGCCTTAAATGCCACAGATTACATGAATTTGAAGAACTGCATGTTTGAGAGTTATTACAAACTTCAGGCTTATTACATGTAGACATGAAAGAAAGGGGATACATAGGTATATTTTTAGAAACACCTGAAGCAGACTGACTGGTACCGGCAGATGGAGCAAGAGAGATGGATGAAAACTTGTATAGACCATCTTCACCAAGTACTCCATGTAACAACACTTGTTTAGAAACCTGAGATTTTACATAGCATTCATGAGGATGGAACTCAAAGAAAACGTTGTTATCCCTAGCAAACTGGCTAACACTTAGTAGATTTCTGGTTATGGATGGAACATGAAGAATATGATGTAAATGAAGTAAGCAAGAGGAGTGATAGGGTGAAGAAAAGGAAGAAAAACCTATAGACTTTATATCCACACCTTGTCCATTACCCATAAAGAGCTTTTCAGTTGTAGCAAATGGCTCACTATGTTGGAAGTTCATAGGATCAGCAGTTACATGATGTGTGGCCCCTGAATCTGGGACCATGTCTGATTTGAAGGAACTGGGCCAAGTATAGAAGAGTTAGCACTGGCAACTGCAGCAGTAGGTTGATGATATCCTGAATTGAAACTTTGTGGGATTGAGCTTGTAGAAGGTTGATGCCATTGTTGAACAGCATTGGCAGATGAAGGTTGAGGTTGATAGAAGCTGGGTCTAGGTGTGTAAAAGGGGTGTGGAGGAAGTTGATTTGATGAATTTGGAGTCCAATAGTTAGAAGGTGAAGATCCATAGTTGGCAGGTGTAAAAGTATCAGCAGGATTAATAGAAAAATTGAAATTTGGATTAGTATAAGCTGGATTATAGCGGTGGTAGCAGATTAATGCGTGATGACCTGGTTTTCCACACTTGACAGGTCACAGAGTAGCGTCCTCCAGAGCGGCCTCCACGACCTCTGAATCCTCCACGACCTCGGCCACGATAGGAATTATTGGTATTAGGGTTATCAAATTGAACAATGTTGGCAGAAGTAGTCTCAGAAATTGCAGCAGTCGTAGACGAGTTGATTGGAGGAGATGATTCAACTCGAGCAATATTGGCAGAGAAGATGTTCTGTTGAGTAGAATCGCGAAGCTTCTTGAGACGCATTTCCTTCATTAGCAGCATCGGTTCAAGTTCAGAGACTGTAACAGGGTCCAAACTGTTGCGAGAGGTTACAGATGATACAATAGACTCATACTCTTCAGGGAGACCTTCGAGAATCACATTTACATGGTCTTTGGTGGATATTGGTTCCCCTGCCTGCATGAGATTGTCCACAATCGTCTGAATACAAAGTAGATACTCAGCAATCGATCGTTCTCCCTTTCCAGTGTTGTAAAGTTTGGATTTAAGCTGTCTGGCTTTCGCGACGATGTTGAAGTGAAAGAATTTATGAATCGCACTCCACAGTTCATGCGATCGTTGACAATGAATAAACCTAGCATGGAGTGATTCCGTCAGAGATGAGAGAAGCCACGAGAACAACATTTGATCATGTTGCTCCTAGACGATATACGCTTCATTCACTTTCTTAGTTCCTTCATCATCTGCAATGAATTCCTCAGGAATTTGTGGCTTCTCGACAAATCTGAATAATTTGTGTGCACGAATTACAGCTTCAATGTGATGCTTCCATAGAAGATAATTGTTCGAATCAAGCTTAATTGCCAGAGGATGGGAGAACGATACTGGAAAAACTGTATTTCCAGTAACTGAGGAAGAAGATGACGTCGAGTCAGGCATGGTTGAAGATCGAGCAAGAGCTAAAGCTCTGATACCATATTAGAAAATGAAATGCAGACTGAATAGGAATGAATCAATCTTATTATTCTCAAGGTAGTTTACAAGTATTTATAGTACAGAGGCTAGAAGCAAATTACTAACTAACTGAGTTAGCTATAACAGACTAACAACCAGTAACAATACTTTTCAAGTATTCGTATACTACTCCTAACAATGTTGAACGAATGAGACCAGATTCGTTGGATGAGGCCATCAATGCTGCCCGAGATTATGCCCGCAAAGGCCAACTGTTGAAGTTTTTACTGATGCAGATTGGGCACGCTCGATCACACACAGAAGATTAACAAGTGGATATTGATCATTTGTATGGGGAAATTTGGTGACTTGGCGCAGTAAGAAGCAAACTGTGGTGGATCGTAGTAGTGCCGAAGCAGAATTTCGGGCTACGGCTAACGGGATTTGTGAAGGAATTTGGCTCAAACGAGTACTAAAGGAACTTCATCTACCTCTAGAAGGTGCTATAAAATTGTATTGTCACAACAAGGCTGCTATCAGCATTGCAAACAATCCAGTACAACATGATAGGACTAAACACAAGGAAGTTGATAGACACTTCATCAAAGAGAAGATTGAAAATGGTAGCTTATGCATACCATATGTTCCAACTTCATAACAAGTAGCAGACATCCTCACCAAAAAACTATTCAAGCCTAGCTTTGATGGGATCGTGAGCAAGTTGGGTTTAATTGACATATATACTCCCAACTTGAGGGGGAGTGTAGATTTAGATAGATATTCTGTCAAATAATGTGTAATTATCTTTGATTTTGTTTCCTTATTCTCAGGGATCTAGTTTCCTTATTCTCTGAGAGCTAGTTTCCATATTCTCTGAGATCTAGTTTCCTAAGAATAAAGTTTCCTTTTGAAGAGGATTCTTCTTGTGTATATATAGGGCCTTTGTACATCTATTATAATTCAGAAGAGTGAAGATTCATATCTATTATAATTCAGAAGAGTGAAGATTCATATTATATAAAACTACAATAATGTTATCTATCATTTGTGTATCTATCTGCTCGGTCCAAAATCTTAATGTAGGATCCTGGAAGATTATGACGAGGCTCGATGTGAAACTGCTGCACCTCACTGCTCTTTTGACAACAGCCATATTAGCGCGGCCATCTACTCCATGAGCTGCCTTCCTGGTTGTCTTCCACCTTGGGAGAAAATCCTTGAGCGGCTCACTACGTCTCTGGTTGCAAATCTCTGCCATCCTATAGGGAGATCATAGAACCAATGCCTTGCTTCACCCTCCAATGTGGCTGAGAAGGCATTGCACAACTCCTCATCAATTTTTCTGAGGAGGCTCAATCTGTTCTCGGAGCTAAGGAATTGCTCCCTTTGCACACATTGCGCCAGAGAAGAGAGGTAGGGGCGGGAATCAAGGTTGATGAATGATAATGTTAATGCGGCCAAGTAAAAAGATTGCTTATGTTCTCTTCTCGGCGATTGCTGAGGATGGTGATTGAGTGTTGGCTTAGCAATTCATGTAGGCCTCTACTTTAATGGACCTCAAAGGGCGCGATATAGAACATAGCGGTGCTGGAAGTGAGGGGGGGGTAGGAGCAATGTGCCTTTCTCCACTCTTTCACAATGTGTCCTAGGCGTGGTTTTGTCCCCCTGGAGCGAGAGCTCGAGGTTCCTTCGGTGGTAGTGACACTGAGGCAGAAAGGAGTGTTTGTGGTTTGTGCCTCACCAGGAAGGGAGAATGTTATAGTCATGATCTCAAAGGCCTCGTTTCTTCCTCCAGCCAAGGAGACAAGGCCGAAGTCACATCCACCAATTCTAGTTGTTCGACGGTTGTTGTTTTGAATCACAGTTTCAGACATTAAGTTGAGAGTACCGGTTTTCAGAACTCACAAGTCTCTTTGGCAAAAAATTTCAATCACAACAATGAGTTTTAAAAATGCAGTGACCTTTGAATCTTCAACCCTTCAAAGGCTCATCAGTAAACCATCAAAGGAGTTTTGGAAATATTCAAGTGTGTTCTTCATGAACTTCTCATATTTTGAAAGTTTTATCTTACATTTTGTGTTTGTGGACAGGTACTAACTTGATAGTTCATCCTCTAAATGAGAGCACCAAATGATGAATAATTGACATCCGGATTATAGAGACAAGTAGAAACCTAGAGAGAGAAAGTGGAGCAATATACTGAATTACAATTCAATTGATTGACACTTAGACCAGTCCCAGGTGGGGAAAGTATGAGCATACATGACAAGGCTTAAGTTCCATACTTGGTGACATGTGTCCCTAATCGCAATTTTAATGACGCCATGCTTAGACCTTATGTTGGAGGATATCGGAAAGTTATATGCTTTTAAATACAACATTGGAAGAGAAAGACATGTCACTGCTTTCATTTTGATTCTGTGGTCTTCTGCTATATAGGGTATATATTTAATTCCTAAAATTACTGAGTAAATGAAAACAATTGCTATATAGGTCTTCTGGTATTTTTTTACATTCGTTATGTTTCATAATCTCCATATAAAAGATTTACTCAGTTTATAACTTTATATAAATGTTTTATGTTCTCTCACATTCCATTTCCTTCTTAATTATGAAAATATACTTTTGGATACTTAGACTTCTACGCTTTTTTTAGTGTTAAAATTATAAGAGTTAACAAAGCTTAAATAAAAATTACAAAAACACACAATTCCAGTCCAATACCGCTCTGATCCGGTCATACCCGAAATAATCCATTCCCGGACTAGAAGTATGTCGGTGATCTTCTGTCCTATGATTTGGAGATTCTGGTTCGGATCCAGTACGGTCTTGGACCGGTGCTCAGCCAGTCAGCCCTACGGCCAGATACATCCAATGCATCATAATACTCTGTGTGTTAGTCTGCTAGATACATGTCTAATACAAAGGTAGTAAAAGTAGATACTGACCTAAAAGTGTTTAGTTGCAAAAGGATCCCAAGACCCAAAAGCAATTGAAAGCCAAGAAAACACAGACCCTGAAATGGTGTCACAACTCCACTGGCAATAGGCCTCAACATTGTTCTCTGTACCTGCACAGTAAATGTATCAGAAAAACAAAAAACTCAAAATAGAACAACAAAATGGATAGGAACATCGGCATAACAATAGTCTCTGAAATCTGAAGCTAAGAGGCAATGAGACACATTGAGTAGGGTTTTTATGACCCAAAAGATAGTTTAGCTATCCATCCACCTAAGAGCCTCAGAAAGATAAAATAACAATTTAGGGTTTGAATGGTAGAAACTGACACCTAAGTCTTAAAACCATGAATGTCATAAGGACCATTTAAGTTATTTCTATATTAACTTGTAAAGAAAATTTCCCAACGGATTATAAAGATAAAAAACATAATGGAAAACTAAAAATAAATAGAAATTCATGGTTTGTTCAGTCTTGGATGGATAGTTTTCGACTTTCAGATTCTAAATTGATAAGGAACAGTGTAAAAATCGGCTTAATGTAGTGAGAAACCGTGTTTGTATCAGAAGCCTTAACTACCTTCACATCAATGTCACGATCCAGCAGATCATTGACCGTACATCCAGCACCTCGCAGAAGCAAAGCTCCGCAACCGAACAGAACGATCATCTTCATATCAGGCATACTCCCGGGTGATGCTGCCAGAGTAATTGACCTGAAAAATAGAGCTGAAAATTAAACAAACACATCTAAAAACATCAAGTTCTCATCTTGTATAGAAACAGAATGATCAACTGACCACATGCAAGGCCAAACGAGTAACCAGGTCCCAATGGAATTATGAAGTCGAGCCAAATGGGCATATGGCCGGACTCTTTGGGGCAAATACAAATCAACCCAAGTCGACTTGTGCTCATTTTTAGTTTTTTCTGTGTTAGCTAATGAAGAGAACTGAAAAGATTGCCGGACACTCAAATGTCCAAGTTTTGAAAAGGAAAAAGAAAAAGGAGGGTGTTGGAAGAGCTTCCAGTAGAAATTTTCAGAGTCATGAATGGAACTAGAGGAGTGTGGAGAGGAAGGCAGGGAAGGGTTGTGGTTGTTTATGCTGGAGTTAAGAATGAATCCAGAGCTAGGGTGTTGTGCATTCCAGGGTCTGAATAGAGCAGCAGCTATGATCAATGGCCGAGAGTGACGATGGAAGCCGTGAGAAGCTCGACAGAAACGCTGCAGTGCCATATCTCTAATCAATCGATCAATGTTGCCACAACTAACTGAATGATCAACTGGGCAATGTCTGAATGTCTGAATCCAAGACGTTTGTCTGAAGGTGATCTTTGAATGACTGAATCTGAATAGCTAGCTGAATGGAGTAAACCCGTTCGGCAAAGGAACTGAAAAAGTGCAGAGATAATATGAAATTGCATTAAAGTACACACAATTATTATAGAATACTCCGTATAAAAATACTTGTAACTCCGTATAATTTTTTAGCGATTGAAGACTCTGTTCATACTTCATAGCCACGCAGAAGACCTTTAAGTTCTAACTGATAAATTTTACTGGTGAGAAACAGTTAGCTCTTGCCAATCAACTTTCCGGTACAAAGCGTCTAGTACAATAGCGATAAAGAACACAACGCAGATAGTGGTATAGCAGCGAAAGAAGAGATTTCAAACTTGGCAATTAGGGGAGGAAGGAAAAATTACATACCTCAATCGGCGGAATACAGAGCTGCACCTTGACAACCTGCAAGGCTGCAATTGATCGGGGAAGAAATTGGAGGGCAAAGAGGTCTCGCGAAAGAGATGAACGAGGGCTAGGATGGGAAATGAAAGTCTGTAAACGAACGACTGAATACGAACGCTTCCTCCCTTAACGTTTCAGTCCAGTCTATTTATTTCAGCTCAAGCTGGCTTCAGCCTTTTAAACAAACATCACTACTTTAATTAAAAATGACTGAATTCAACAAATTTCAGCCCCTTTTTAACTGAAGTGGCTTGCCGAACACAGACTTATGTTATGTTTGACATGACAAGCTGGAACTGGAGGCTAATGTCTGAATTAGGCGCTATTGTCTGAACCTGAGACTATTGTCTGGAACTACAATTTGAAGTGCTGGATCTGAATCACTAACTGAATAGAGTAAACTTGTTTGACAAAAAGAGCTGAAAAATACTGAGATAATATGAAATTACATTAAAGGACATATGATTTATTAAAAGAATAAAATATTTATAATCATCGTTTATATATTTTCAGCCCCTTAATATATGTGTGCATGTGCGTATATAATATTTTTAAATTTATACATGTATATATATAAGGTTTATTCATGAATTTCTAAACAAATATTCCCTATACTATATTGAAAATGTAAGTTCAAGCATGTCTGCCTTTTAATTTTATTAAATGCCAGCCATGCTGACATGGTGTCGTACTTAGAACGAGGCACCCACTTAGAGCAAATACCCATGTAGCACAAAAAGAGCAGATAGAGCAAATTAAATAAAGTATAATACAGAATGCCACTTGCGATTGGAGAGCAGAAATGATTTGCAGACCACTGGAGTGGTGGAGGAAGTCAAAATATATACCCAGAGAGCTATGCGCGATCGGTTCGGCTTTGCGTGAGATTCAATGCATGGGGATAAGGTGGGAAACAGAAGTCTGGAAAGTGGGGGCTGAATACTAACGTTACCTTCTTCAACGTTCCAATTCAGCTCTCATATTTCAGATTAAGTCCACTTCAGCCTTCCAAACAAACACTTCAATTGTAATTAAAATTGACTGAACTACAATTATTTCAGCCCTTTTTGAGCTTTTGTGGCTCACCGAACACAGCCTTAATCCTTTCAAGCCTAGGCGGGGATTAGCCGTGAAAAGGCATTTCGATTTTTTATCTTTTATTTTAATTTTTCTAGAGCTACTTTACATATTTAAATTTTATATTAAGTAATTTTATTCAAAAACATCATACTTTCTAATTTTCAACAACAAAAAAAGATTTGTAGGAGTCCTAAACCTAACAAATAAATATTAATGAAACTAAAGTTTGAAACGAGCAATTTAATGATAAAATATTAATATTAATAAAAATAAATAATACATAATGTATGACCAAAATAAGGACAATAGTTAAAATGTGACCTAGTAACTTTTAATGATTATAATTACATTCAAAAATAATGTTATTATAGTGAATATAAGAATATATTTATAATCACTTTATTCATATTTTTCATTCATAAGTTCTAATACTCTAATATTTTAGAAAACTCTTTTAAAAATGACAATGGTGAGGATATTGATAATGATAGCAATAAGAGCTCGTTTGATAACACTGTTATTCGGCTTATCAGACTTAGCAGACAACTTTTTCACCAAACACCTAACTTTTGATTTCGCGTGCTGAAATATGTAATAATAAGAAAAGGTAAGGTTGAAGTTATTTTTCTGGCTATTTCGGCTTAAGTTACCGTAGAAGACCATTTTAACTATTTTTACATATATATTTTTGTTTATTTTATTTATAGAATATATTTTAAATTTAATTTTTCATAAATCAGAAGAATCAGTCAATACAGCCACTTAAGCTAGAACTTCGTAAATTTCAGCAGGATCAACCGATCCAGCCGATTTTCAGTGTTACCAAACGGGCTCTAAAATACAATACTAATAATAAAGATAGTAAGAATTCTAACAACAATAAAAAATAATCTAAAGCATATATAACTACGTCCTAGGGTATTGGTGTAAAGATACACATATTCACTGTCCAAAAAGTTGGTTGAGGCAAATCTGGATAGGTAAATTCATCACTTCATTAGTCCCACACCACAAGGAAAGTAGACATACTACTATGAATTTTCCTATATAAATGAAGTGCTTCTTGTCGTTTAAATGTAGGCAGCGCCTTACAACCAACAGGTTACGCGCTACCATGCTTTCCATGCTTCTGTCTACAACGGCTCGAGAGCATAGTTTTTAAAAATGTTTTTTCATATTTATATACGGAGTATTAACTATTACTTGCTGGCTGGCCGCCACCTTTTCCCACGCCTGATGGGTATGCGGCGCGTCTTAGTGGCGCCTTGCGCCTATACGCGCCTAGGCGGCGCCTTTCCAAGTGTTTTAGAACACTGTCTGTAATCTCTTTCAAGTGCAAAGGAAATATATCTCTGTTTTTTAGAAAACAAGCATATAATTAAGTTTGTATCCTTCTAAACCTACTCCCTCCATCCCATCGGACTTTGCCAATTTTCTCTTTTTAGTTGTCCCAAAAAACTTTGTCATTTTCCTATTAAAGCAACTAATTGGTGTTTCTGCATGTTTCTCTCTCATCTGCACAAATTTCAACCACACAATTTTTACTATTCTTATTTCTCACCTACTTTGCCCTTGGCAAAGTCCATCGGGACGGAGGGAATATTACACTATCTGCTCCAGTTAATGCCAACACTGGGATGGGACTTGAACCCGTGACCTCCTCTTTGGAAGATCAACAGTGATGTGACCACAAGGTACGGTCATCATACCACAAGTTTGAGGGTTGTTTTTTAATATCTCCTTCGTTCTTAAATAATTGCAACACTTCCCTTTTTGGCAATTTCTAAATAATTGCAACCTTTCTTTTTTAGGAAATAAGCAATAGATGAAATGACTATAATGCCCTTAATAATTCAACATGAAGACCCATCTTCTAATGTACAAAGTATTTCCGTCCACCCACCGCCCCCCATTCGTCTTCTCCCATCATTATTATGCCATCTTCTCTTCTTATCCCTCACCATCTTCTTTCTTTGCCTAGTTTTTCTCCAATTTGTTTTTAGGTTTAGATCGAATGGAAATCTTGCCAGAAGATTTATTATGCTTTTTACTCCGACTACAATTTTGTGACGGCAGTGCTTTTTTGCTCCGGCTACGCCTTCTCTCTTCCATCACCAACAACATTCTTTCCTTCGAGTTTGTGAGTCGAAAATTTCTCCTGAGTGCAATTCCGAGCTCAGATTTGTATTTGGAATGCTAATTTACGGCCAAAAACCCGAAATCGGACTGATTTATCGTGGATGGTACTATTCATAACGAAATCGTTGTCTGTAAAAGCTTCGATTTAGGTTCTGTTTCTGGAATTGAGGTTTGTAGGTTGTTGACCACTCTCAAACGCACATCTGGGCCCTGGTTTTGTGTTGGAAGAGGCTGGTTTGCTGATCTCCACTTTCAGTTCATTGTTCATCTTCGCTATGCCTAAGAAGAAGGAGGGGTCTGTGGAGGCTTCTGGGTGCAAATAGGTCCAGTTTTGCTATCCTTGCAGAAAAACAAGTGTTGCCGCAAACCGGAAACCCTTGTTTTGCATCCCAATTTGGTTTCCCCTAGTAGGAATAATGTTTGCTGCAGATAAAGGTGCAGATAGAGATAATAGTGACTGGCAAGGGTAAAATGGAAAATACATAAGTCAATCCCCAATTCTTAACTCTCGTGCCTAAAGCTATGTTGCAATTATATCCGAACGGAGGAAATATATCTCTGTTTTTATAAATATATCTCTGTTTTTAAGTGCATATATATCCATGAACTTTTAAAAGATGCAAAAATAACCCTCATGTTCTAATAAAGGAGCAAATTTACCCTAATTTACCCCAACATTTACCTATTATTATTGAAGAAAAAAGGAGCATACAAAGAGTAACTAAAGGGAGTAGAAAATATGTGACACCGCACCCGGATGTACTTGAATCTGGAATTTGATATGTATTCGAATTTCCTAGCAAATAAAATTCATGTAATTGATTGGCATATTATTTAATGTGCGATTAATTAAATTATTTATCGGGTCCAGTATATGTGACTGGGCTACCAAATATTTAGTTGGGTCATCGTGAAAATTATAGAAGCCCAAATAAAACGCCAACCGAAGTTGATAAAAATATTTGGACAACCCGAGCGCTATTTTGACCCGACGGGCCAGAAGTAGCAGAAATAATTGGGAGGGATTTCCTACACCCATTTGGGAATTTACTACACACTTTGTGAAGTCTAAATGAGTCAAATTTAGACAACTTAGAAAGGGTGATGCGGATGAATAATGGAGGAAGCCTCCTAGAGACAAAGCTTACACACACATGACCCCATACTCAAATTATTTTGAGTATTGATTGAGAAGAGATGTCTCACCCTATCCCATTCACTTCATTCGACCATATCAAGAGAAGAGCTCCAGGAAAGTCTCCTCTCACTTAGTCCAAGGTTGAAGGAAGGAGCAACAAAGAAAATCCAAGGAGAAAGAAGGTTGTTCTTGAGGTAAGAATACACCTCTATTCTTTAACTAGTATTGTTGTTGTATGATTTTTAGGAAATCATATGGTGGATTAAATATGAAGTTCTACACGTTTAAAAGTGTAGAATAATGTTATAAAGTGGTGGTATTTAACTTAGGAGAGTTGGTGAATCGATAGGAGTCGAAACCGCCGGAAACCGCCACTCCAAAGGAGTTGCTCGTAGTTGCAGACTACGAAAGCCGCCCGGCTTTTGTGAAAGCCGCCCGTCTTTTGGCTGCTGTCCAGAAATTTCACTTTCAATCGGCCTAGAACGGGGATTGATCGAGGGACTTAACAAAGGCAACTATTGTAGCACATCACAAGGTGAGGATGGCTGACTATATTGCTTATAATCTTTGGGTTAATTTCATAAGATTACCTAAAGTAATTAAATGTGATTTTCATGGATTATTAATGCTTAATAATGCCTAAATGAAAATATCATTGTTTGTGAATAGAAGATGCATAACATACAAATTTATGAGAGATTGTGTATGATGATGCATAATAAATGTGGAGGTATAATGATTGTATAAACCATGAA